AATATATGTTTTTTGATGTTGCAAAGAAACTTGCTTAAGTACCTAATAATCTCATTAGAGATTTGGGTTTTCTTTTCCCAAAGAGGCTGGGGTTTGGCATAGGTACGAATGATGTTCTCGTGCTTTTGAAAAAACATTTAGACTTTTGAAAAACCCTCCTAATATAAGCTTGTGTTACCATTGGCGGGTCAGCATAGTGCATTTCTCAAGTCCAGACGTTATCCATGGGCCAATTCTAGCCTCCAGTATCTTGCTGTATAGTTTATAGGTAGGAATATTTTTTACATTTTAAGTCAGGGGTCCTCAAACTTTTTAAACAGTGTCCCTCAGACCGTTGGAAGGCCAGACTATAGCTTAAAAAAAAAACTATGAACAAATTCCTATGCATACTGCACATATCTTGTTTTGAAGTAAAAAAACAAAATGGGAACAAATACAATATTTGTATTTGCATGTGGCCCCTGGGGCCATAGTTTGAGGACCCCTGTTTTAAGTGGCCCTGGGATCTGTGAAAGCAGCAGGGGGTGTAGCTATAAAAGTTCCCCATTTGCAAATGTACTGAAAGAGTTAAGGACAACAATAGCAGCTGCTATCTCTAACAGTGCCAAAGGAGATTAGGGGAACTTGCAAACACTTCATAATTGATATTTCTTCTCCAAGATATTAAAATAAAATTAAGATGTTGTCTTGACTTAATTCTGTATCTGGAAGACAGTCAACTTTGACATTTTTTTTTTCTTTCAGAAAAAATAACACATTATTTTTTTTGCATAAATTAGATTTTTCATCACTTTTAAAATATCTAATATATGCATCAACGTTGTTTAATACTTTTGTGGTTGAATATTTAGTATATGAGGCATTGTCTTTGCTAAATACAAATACTTAGTTTTCCTCCTGCTTTGTCAGTGAGCTGGTGGCATTGCTTATGGCAACTGCTGCCAGTGACAGCACATGGATCTCTGAGAAAGCCTTTCCAATGTCAGTGCTCTGTTCTGTATCCCTCACCCAAGGTCACCCCACTAGCCCCTTGAATCTATACACTAAACTACAATCTCTGCATCTAGGTTTATTTGTGAAAATCACATTTTTTTCTGATGTGGAGTTTGTGTTGCAGGGCATCTAGAGCCATGTGATGTATACAGCTTTGAACAGGACACTTGCCAGTTCAGTAGGGAAAAAGGGGGAAGTGTATAGAAATGATTTTAGCAGAATGTGTCTTCCTTATGGAGCTCATCATTATTCATTTACTATTGCCGGAAGCCGTTCCACCCTTGCTGCTTGACACAGTCGCTGCAGGGAAGAAACATCTGCACAGCATATGCTTTAAGGGACCTGATGTATATGGCATACTGTTCTTAATATGTTTGCTCCCCTTCTTAGTGCTATGTGTTATAACCAGAGCTACTGTAAGGCCCTAAGACCCCCGGGGAGTCCGACGGAGGGGGCGACGACCCCAAGTCAAACGCAGAGGCCGGAACTTGATGCAAAAGCAAGAGGATTTTTATAACAAGCGCAGCGCAGGGGCTCTCAGCCAGACAAGCAGCAACCCAAGGGAAGGGATGGGTGCATGGAGCCCCCA